TAGCTAGTTGTGAGATAACCATTTTGCTTGCCTATTCAATTGTTCAATGGTAGTAGTATATGATATTATCTAGAATGCTGCAAAACTTAGAGTGATGGAGGTGCCTTATTTCTGCTGCTTGCAAATTGCAGGTAGATGAAACAATGATCTTGTATCCGAGGCACCATTTTGCTTGCCTAAGATCTTCTAATCACCTTGCCTGTCAATTATCTCCCTGCCAATATGGATTTTTGGTATATTTTGAATGAAAATGAAATTCATTCCATTTCCATACGATATGAATCTCCTCTAAAATCTTTACATTTTTTTAAGTTCATCTTTTTTTTAATAAGAAAATAAAATTTGTTCCCAACTTGCTGGGTGGAAATTTCCTTTGTATGGAATAAAATTTATGCTGAAGTCACTTTCCATTTTTGGCCAAACATGCTAAAAGCCACGTTGGGTAGGACCAAAATGAAATGGAATGTAATGCACCTTCCATTTTCATCCTCATATATATATATATATATATATATATATTAAGTTTATTTCCTTGCCATATTTAATAGAGCAAATTTAACTTGGGAAACGAACAGTTGCCGAGGGAAATGATCCCTCCAAAGTCTAAAGTGAGAATCACGATTCCCTGTTTGGGTAATGGGCATTGATTCCACTCCCTCCTTCTCGGCAAAAGCTCACAAATTGTCCTTTAATTTTTTTTGAGTGCGTGATATTTTACTTTTTATTTTACAATATGTAATTTTATACTTTTTTTGATATTTAAATTTATAATTTTATATTTTTATGATATTGGAGTATGTAGAACTTTACTTTTCACCTTATAACTTTTGAGAATTACACGTGATCCCATAATATTAAAATTTACCTTATTATGATAAACTTAAATACTAAAAAGATATAAAATCACATATTATAAAGTAAAAAATAAAATTTTACACACTCAAAAAAATTGAAGGGTAATCATGGGGTTTTGCCCTCCCTTCTCCTCTTCTTTTTTTTTTTTTTTAACCTCTTATTTCTAAACCAAAAATATATTTTTGTGCAGTTTTAGAATATGTCTATTATATAATTTAAATTATTAAATAAAAAGCAAATCTTTTAATTCTGGCAAATTGGAGTTACCATACCATGGAATTTTTGTCCTTGTGTGTGGATAAGAAATCAAAGCCACAAAGACTAGGATAGAGAGAGGAGAGGTAGGGATGACTGCTGCTCTCTCTAAATCGTGGCCGAAATCCGACTTTCCAAATTTCCTATTTTTGTGGCAGAAATTTAATAATTTATTGTGATCCACCAAAGCCCAAGCCCGCTATTTAACATCTTGTCAGCTTGGACTTTACTTACCGAAAGAAAGAAAATGGTTGGACCTTTGTCCTTTGGAGTCTTGTTGGGCCCACAATATCATGCAGAGAATCTCAATCAATTATGAAGGTGTAGTAATGATTCTGTGTTGTGCACTCGCAACGCTACACCACATCCAATGTCATCTTCGCCACTCCCTTTACCAATCCCAACTCTGATGATCATCATAGGGATGTACAATGATGTACTGTAATTTGAGGGTAGAGTTAGATTATCATATTTATATAATGTTAAACAATTAACCTTTTTATGTATGAAAAATCGTTAATTGGTGTCAAGTAGTTGGAACTGATAGAATTTTTAAATTTATCTCTTAAATAAAAATATAAAAATAAATCTAATTTTTAAAAAATATAGTGGTAAATTATTTTTTTAATTATTAATTAAAATAAATTATTTATTATTTAACATGTGATATTATTATATATTAAAATTTTATTTGTTCTTGAATAACATTTAACAAAAAACTAACATTGATTATATCACATGTTAAATAATTAATAATTTCTCTTAATCAATAATTTTAAAAAATATTTTATCTTTATATTTTTTTGAAAAAATAAAATTTTCAATTCACCCTTATTTGAGATTTATCAAATTTAAACATATTTTTAAAACAACCAATATGAGTTTACTGAGAAAAAAAAGAAAAAAGTATGAGTAAGGACCTCCCCTAGATTTCCCTCCCCCCGCCCCCCACCACTCAGGTCAAGTCCTATATGGTTGGCTCCGTCCGTCAATGGTGGAATTAAAGGTCAGGCCCGCATTTTGAGGAAGTCTCATTTTCTACTATTTTATTTTTAGGCTCAAATTTTTATTTGGTCTATTAACTATTGAATTGTTATGACTTTAGTTTATATATAAAGTTTGCTTTCTATCAAACCGGTCAAAAAGGAAACTTTAAAAGCAGATCATAAAAGTCTATACGATAGAGTTTCATATGCCTGTGTATCATTATGTAAATGTTACTGAAAGCATTTGTATTGTGCTTAAGTGAATTTATATGTTTTTGAGGAGTATAGGATGTTGTTAAGTTAAGTAACTATATCGACTGTAATACTTAAGAACCAATTTAATATGTGAAAACATCATCTTAAATATAAAATATTAGTTTATTATATTTTTAAATCTCCACATATAGAAATCATTTACTTTTCACTCTCCATTTTCAATTTGAGATTCTCTCTATTTATATATTAACACCCAACATCTATATTGTGTATACATTAACATTTTACTTTAAAACAAAGAAATATATTAAAAATAATTATTCAAAAAGTTTAAAAAAAAAAACATTATCAACTACTGCTCAAATAATAAGAAAGTCAAATGAAGATTAGGGCCTGTTTAGTATAATTTGTTAGAGGTTTTACTTTTTTTATTGTTTATGAGTGATAAATTTAAATTTTTATTGAAAAGAAAATTAAAAATTACTTTTGAAGATAAGAAAAAGTGAGTAAAAAAATTTATAAAAAAATTTAAATTTGAAACTTTTTATCTTTTATTGTTTATAATCTTTTTAAGATTAAAAAAATGTTTAAAAATATAAATTTTTAAAAAATAATTTTAACTTATAAAATATAAATAATATCAAAAAATTGAAGCATTTTGAAAGCTGCACCAAATGGAAGTGGCATTATGTATTTGACAATTCAGCTTGCTGATATAGAATTTCGTTAGGAAAACTAACGAAATTTTGGAAGAGTCATGTTTCTAGATCAATTTGAAAGGAAACAACATTTTTACATCAAAACGATAACAGTGTAATAGTTAATGGACCAAACGGATACCACATTTAGCCATTTTATTTTCCACTTCCATCTCTTTCTGTCCACATTTCCTTTAAAATATAAATATTATTATTACTTTTTGACACCTTAATTATTCACATTCAGAAAAGGGAAAAAATATAGATTTTTTTATTGGATAATATTATAGTTATAATGTCATTTATTATGAATTTATAATTATAATATAAAATTAAATATCATAATGTAATTTTAAATGTGTGTGGGTCATATGTTTGACTTCCAAATGGCTATTTGGTATAAAAATTAAAATTCAACTAATAATGAATAGCCAATATCAAATAATAGTAACGTGTAATAATTAATAGGTAATGGATAACACAAAATGAATAGAAGATAATAGATAATAAATTTGATTAATATAATTATTTGATTAATATAATTATTTAATTATATAATAGTTAACTATTACTCTTCAATGTTAAAAAACTAATAAAGACATATTAAAAAATAATTACATGTATTCTTTTATATATTTTATTATCAAAATTATTAATTTTATACAAAAATTATTAAGAAAATAAATAAAATAAATTATAATAGTGTAATTATGTATTTATATTTATTTTTAATAAAGAAAAAATATATTATTTTTAAATAAAATTTTTTAATTATTTCTTTTAATTAATAAATTTTATTTATTAAGTTAATATATTTTTACAATAAATTAATATAAAAAATAAAAATATAATAATTACTTAATGTTATCAACAATAAAAAAATGAAGTTGAAACTAATTAAATAAGTATCAATTAAAAATTGTAGCCAAAAATTTAAAAAATGAAAATGGGTAAATTTTTCTATAAAATTAAAAAAATTTCAATCTACTAATAATTTAGTATAAAAAGTTACCTAAATTAATTTTTTCAATCTACTAGCAATTTAAATTCTAATTATCATTCGCTAATATCAAATCACTAAATAAAAATTTTTACAGAACACTTTATTTATAATGATTTTAAAATATTTAAATTTACTAAACACTTATTTTTAATAATTTAAATAAAATCACAAATCATTATTCTTAACTCACTATATCAAACGAGTCTTAAATGAAAATGAAAGGAGCTAATTACAATGCATGGTTTTGTATGGTTATGTTTGAAATTGTTGTAATTATGGCTTTTTCTTTTTTTTTTCGAACAAATTCATAAAGGATTGGATTCGAACTGTTACCTGAGATGAGAAAATGCACTTATATGTGACTTAACGTTACTGGACCGAAGGCTCAAATGCGTAATTATGGGCCTTTTAACAATTTATTATGACAAAAATTATATTTTTTTTAATATATCAAAGAGTTAGATATTTAATAGAGAATCATGTGTTATAGTTCAGATTGTACTAGATTGTACCATCAGGACTATAAAAAAAGGGAGGGTAGGGTCCAATATTAAAGGCCTTATCCCTTTTTTATGGTTATGATGTTTCGGACTATAACATACTTTTTTGTATTTAATAACACAAAAATTTAAATATTTAATCTTAACTTTAAATTAAAATTTTTAAATTTGAAAGTACTAAATTAGCCAAGCATATGTTATTATTTAATAATTAATTTAAAAAATATTATACATTAATATAATTATAAAATTATATAAAATATTAATTAAAATTAATTTACTCTTAATAAATTAACATTTTTAT